TGCCTGGCAGTGCCCAGGGCCAGGCTGGATGGGACTGGCACAGTGGGAGCTGTCCCTGCCATGGCAGGGGTGGCACTGGATGGGATTTAAGCCCCCTCCCAGCCACAGGCCAAGCCAAACTGGTTCCAGCTGTTTCCTCCCAGAGCCATTTGCCATGAGCTCAGCCCAGTGTGCCTGTGCCACGTGCTGAGGCACAAACCCTCTCTGGAAAGAGCCCCAGAATGTCCCAGGCACGAGGAGGGAGCGTGGTGGGATGTGCTGCTGTCAGCTGGGAGCCCTCAGGGCAGAGTTTGCTGCCAAGCTGCTCCATCCACCCTGCAAACACAGGCAGCCCTTGGAAAAGGGCTTTTTCCACACCACCAGGAGAGGAGTTACTGGTGTTTCATTCCCAGCTCTGTGATTTGCTGGCTGCCTAGGATGGAGGGTGTTTCTCTGTTCCCTTGCACATGTGGGTGGGAGCAGCAGTGGTTTGGGTTCTCTGAGCTGTTTAATTCCATGGATTAAGGGAAGGCTCTACAAGCACAGCTCAGCCCTGGGGCTGCTCCTGGTGTCCATGGCGTGTCCTGCTGCCGGGGAAAAGGCCTTGGGAAAAGCCTGGTGTCTGCCAGTCCAGGTCACCTGCTGGGCACCACATCAGTCCCACCAGTCCAGCGGATCCAAAGGCCAAGCAAAGGCTGCTCTTTCTTTTCCTGCCAAAAAATGGATGCCTGAGAGCAAAGAGCCCCTGGAGGCAAGACTGGGGTCCTTGTCCAAGCCACTGCAGGGCCATCTCTCCTGAAATACCAGATTGCCAATGCACTTTGAGCTGCAGAGGATGCAGGGCAGCGCAGGGCAGCTCTGTAAAGCCCTGCAGTTCCAGGATCTGGATGCTCAGGGGGATGCTGTGGATGCCTGCAATGAGCAGCTCTGGTTCCAGCCTTTCCCTCTGAGCTGATGTGCTCAGGAAGCAGAGCCTGGACACGGGCAGTGACTGGGAGGAACGCAGGAGTTCAGCAAAGCTGACTGGGGACGCTTTCCTTTGGCTGGGTGACACTTGCCCTGCCCAGACACGTTGCAGCCCTCAGTGGTGACATGAGCCTGGAAGGGGGGGTCCTGGATGCTGTCCTGGTGTGCAGTGACCTCAGCCCAGCCCTGCCCTTCCCAGGGGTTTGACCTTCCCCCTCTCTGTGCTGGGGCTGCTGCCTTGGCTGTCAGAGCAGCCCACTATGGCAGTGACCTCATTGAGGCCTGGATCAGAACGAGATGCAGCAGAAATCCAGGAATCCAGGCCAGGCTCAGCAGTTTCTCCGTGGTGGGAGCTGCTGCAAAACACACGGAGCAGGAGCAATGCCCCAAGGGTTTGGGCACCAGCCCAGGCTGGGGGCAGCAGCTCTGGAAGGAGCCAGGGCATCCAGCCTGTCCCACAGGGAGATGGGTGGGCCGTGTCCTGAGGGTGTGTGGCTGTTTGGGCTGGATATCTGAGCTCCTTCGGGGGCTGGAGGGGTGCCTGGCAGAGCCACAAGGCACCAGGAGGGAGGTGGCTTCAGTCTGGAAGTGGAATAGAGACATCACATTTTCCAAAGGAGATGTGTTTTACATCTAGGGCTTTGAGAGAGGGAAAGGAAAGCAGCCTGAATTCTTGTCCCTGAGCTGCTGACTTTCTCCATGAGTTGTTTGCTGGTGTGTTTGGCAGGGCTCGTTCCTGTCCCAGAAGAGCTGCCAGCACTGGGATGGCTGTCTGCCCCTGGGTGTTGTGCAACCTCCCTTCTGCTGCTGCATCCGAGGGACAGGGCCAACACAAACAGGGATCATCCCAGCTGAAGCCTTGTGTTTGTCCAAAACCACTTCTAGGCTAAGAAATTACAGCCTCCTCACAGATACTGACCCTGCTGTGACCTTTGGCAGGGGTCAATTCCATGGTTCTGGCCTGATCTCAGGAGATTTCACTGCTGGCAGAGCAGGGGTGATATTTCCAGGGCTTGTGGTCAGAGGTTGAGGTTGGATAATGGTGCCTTTCTGGGGGGGCTGCAGTTGGTTGTGCTGCAGCTCTGGGTGACCCTGCTGGGGGTTCCATCTCTGTTTTGGCAGTTCTTTGTGTTCTGCCATGGGCTGCTGCAGCTCTCCCAGCTCCTGGTCTCGGGCTACCTGAAGAGCTCCATCTCCACCATCGAGCGCCGCTACGGCCTCTCCAGCCAGACCTCGGGGCTGCTGGCCTCCTTCAACGAGGTGAGCGTGTCCCCAGCCGTGTCCCCGTGCCCCNTTCCTTCCTTCCTTCCTTCCTTCCTTCCTTCCTTTCCTTCCTTTCCTTCCTTTCCTTCCTTTCCTTCCTTTCCTTCCTTTCCTTCCTTTCCTTCCTTTCCTTCCTTCCCTTCTTTTTTCATTTGAATCAGTTAAGCCTTATCTCCCTCTTTATTTGATGTCCTCTCAGCAGGATCAAAGTACTTTTCTGTTTGGTTTCCTTCCTAAGGGAGAGGAGCTGGGTGGGATCTGAGGGCAGGGGTTTGTGCTCAGTCTGATCTGCTGGCAAACCCTGGTGTTTGAGGTCTCTGCTGAGCACTGCCCGGGGTCAGCCGCCCTCCCTCCTTCCTCCACACATGTAAAGGAGAGCTGGAAAGGATGACAGAGTGCATTCTGGATTTGTGGTTTGCAGGTCTAATGAGGGACAAAGGCATTAGAGGACACGGAGCCTGCTTCCAGCGTTCCCATCTCTGGAAATCCCGGCTCCTTTGGGTTCCTGCCTTTGCTGTTCCACCCTTTTCCTGCCCCCTGAGCACCCCAGGGGCAGCAGCAGCAGCAAGCCCGGGGCTGTCAATAATTGATCAGGGCTGGAGCCAGGCAGGTGCCTCTGCCCCAGCGCTGCTGAGCCAGACCTCCAGGGGCCCGGCAGTTTTTCCTGCCTGCTTCCATCGAGGCTCAAACCCCCTGTATTGATCCCAGGCTGGATTTGTTACAGCAGTCTCTCTCAGCACGGGCTGAGGGCAGCAATCGCATTCTGCAGAGGCTGTTGGGGCACTCAGAACTCGTGCAGGTCCCCTCTGGAATTCACCTCTCAGGGTTTGTGAACGCCACAGCACGGGCAGGCTCCTCCTGCGAGAAGTTACATCAAGCCCTGCATTTTGTTAATTAGTTTGAGGCTGCGGGTCCCCGCTCCTTTGCCTCTCATCACGGGGGAAATAGAATTACACACAACAATAATGGGAAGCCTTTCACCCCATTTGCTGCCGAGATGAAAACATCTATTAGAATGTGCTGAACAACAAGTTAAAGCCTAATGGCTCTAGCGTGCCTGGGAACAATGCATCTTCCTGAGCAGGAAGCCTGGCCGCTGAAACCCAACAAAGCCATCGCGGGTCCCTGGGGAGGAGGCAAGCAGACCTGCGGGCAGGAGGGGCTGCTGGCTCCCCGCGGGCTGGAATTCCATTGCATGGTCGCGTTTAGGTGATGGCTGAGGGTCCAGAAGCGAGCCTGGAGGGGCAATTCCAGGAGAGATGCGGGAACGCCGCGGTGGCAATGGGATGCGCAGGGATGCAGGGCTTTAATCCAGCAGTGCCCAGCACAGGGAGGGATGGGAAGGGCTTGCTGAGCAAGGAGCTGCTGCCCCCGAGCCTGGACAGATCCCTGCAGAGCGATGCAGAGTGCTGGGCAGGGCAGGGCCAGGACTTTGCATCCCCTAGAACTTCTGGGGTTCTGCAGCCCCAGAGATCCCTCTGGAAAGCCATTTGTGCAGCCCACTGCTCCCCTTCGATTCGCACTTCTCCAGGCAGCTGAGGAGCCTCTGGATGGCAGCACAGCCATCAGCTTTGCCAGCTGCCCTGGCAGAGTTTGCTGCTGGCAGCGGCTGAGGGTGCCCCATCACCCGGGCCATTGATAAGGAGTCACACCGGCCCCAGAAGTGTTGCATAATGTTGTCCTTGGCCCTGCTGAGCAGCGTTTCACCTCGCAGCCTCTGGGGTTCCACATTTTGCAGGCTGCCTTGTCGCTGTGCAGAATCCAAGTGCCCCGAGCAAAGGGAAGGCAGGAACAATCGGTGCCTGCCGGGGAGACCCGTGTGCCCGCTGCGGGGGTGTTTGGCAGGGCTTTGCTGGGCAGGGGGGAGCTGAGGCCCAGCCAGGAGCATTGTGCTGATGATTTATCCCTGACAGGCTGACGGCATGACGGGGAGCAGCCAGCCCGACGTGGCCCGCAGCAGGCTCTGCAGGAGCCCCTTTCTCAGCATCAAGGTAAACACCCCCTGCCTCCCCAGCACCCCCTCGGCTCCCCGGGCTGGGAAACAGCAGCTCAGCCCCCTGCAGAGGGCACTGGGAGGATTTATGGGCACCAGGTGTGCTTGGGAAATGCCCCCTGGGTTTCCCAGGGCACAGGTGCCTTTGTTGTGGAGGTGTTTCCATTCCAGAGCCAGTGGGGCTGTGATGTTTCAGTGCAGGTTTGTTAACTCCCTGCTCCTCCAGAGAATCACACGATGGGATGGGATGGGATGGGATGGGATGGGATGGGATGGGATGGGATGGGATGGGATGGGATGGGTTGGAGGGACCTTAAAAGCCCATCCAGTGCCACCCCTGCCATGGCAGGGACACCTTCCACTGCCCAAGCCCTGTACAACCTGGCCTTGGGCACTGCCAGGGGCAGCCACAGCTGCTCTGGGCACCTGTGCAGGGAACAATTCCTGCCCAAGAGCCCATCTAGCCCTGGCTCTGTCAGTGGGAAGCCTTTCTTCTAAGTCCTGGGTCCTCCTAGATTCAGTGCAAGCCCAGGCCCACCATGTGAGGGCTTGAGGAGCTCTGCAGAGCCACAGGCTGCACCTGGAATGGTTCCCTGTAACATGTTCCTTGCAACATCTGCTTGGTTCCCTTCTGGCTTGGGAATTCCCTGTTACCAGTAGTGGCAGCCCTATCACAGTGCATCACAACATTCAGGGCAGTTGGGAGCCAATTACCTGGCTCATTAGAGAGTCTCACCAGGCCAGAGTGCACAACATGACAGTTGGACTCAAAGGCTCAAGACTTCTCTGTCCCTTTTGTGGGCAAGATTTGGGGTTTTGAGGGTTTTTCTACAAATGCTGGTGCATTTCCTCACCCTCCTTGGTGTGGCAGGAGCAAAGTGAGTCACTGAGGCACAGCCTGCACAGAGGCTGGAGACAGAGCATGGCCTGAGGCTCCTCCCCAGTCCTCTTTCAGCCCATTCAGCTGCTTTTTATCTGCTGGGCTTTGCTTGGTTCTTCTTTACTCCCCAGCAAGGTTATCTCTAGAAGTATGGCCCTGCTGATTTTTCCATGAAAAGATATTTTTAAGGGTTCAAAGATTGAACCATTGAGGAGCAAAGCCAGGAGAATCAAGCTGTATTTTGCTGTATCTGTGAAGGTAGATCCCAAAATCCCAGACTGGTTTGGGTTGGGGGGACCTTACAGACCCTCCTGTTGCAAGCCCTGCCACGGGCAGATGTGGAGGAAGCTCTTGTCACCAAGAGCACAATTGTCCTCAGCACAGGATGTTTTCCCCTTTTCTCCTGGGCTTATTTTTCAAGAAGTCAGGCCGTCCTGTCCGGTTTCTAAATGACTTCCTCAGAGAACAAAACTTGCAGCCCAGGGTTTGAATGGCTCTTGCAGAGCCACAGAACCATTGCACAATGTGGTTGGATGTGTTTGAAGTGGCTGGAGGACCAAAAATCACAGCACTGCAGTTTTTATGGGTATTTATATCTCCAGAGAGCGTGTCACAAAAACCATGACCACATGTCCAAATGCAGCTGGGGGACACAACCAAAACCTGCCCTGCTTGGCTTCAAGGAGCACTGTGATTTAGATGGGATATTGGGAAGGAGTTGTTCCCTGGGAGGGTAGGGAGGCCCCTGGATGCCTGGCAGTGCCCAGGGCCAGGCTGGATGGGACTGGCACAGTGGGAGCTGTCCCTGCCATGGCAGGG